CTGTTTTTAAAATCTATTATCCTGGAAACACATGGCTGAAAGAAAACTCAAATTGATTCCATGGCCATTCATATCTGTGGGCAGACATGTTACCCCTTCAGCTGTTTCCTCTCTGTCTTCAGTAGCATTCATAACCTGAATCCAAGCAATCCATTCCCTACACAGATGCTTCAATGCCCTCCAAACTCAACTTCGCAGTCCACTTTGGTTCCACAATTAAGTTAGAATGACTCGTTCCTAATGAAAAATCTGACCATACCATGGTTCAAGGAATTATACTTCAGTGACTTACTATATTTCGTGGGGTTAAGAACAAAAATCATCACTGTGGTTTATGACATCGTGTGTGGACTGACCCCTGCTGTCCTTTCCTGCTTCTCTGTCACCATGCTCTCTTCACTTTCTTACCCTCCTTAAATTACATTGCTTTGATTTCCTGAATGCACAAGCACCTTGCTCCATCTCCCTCCTACAAGTTCCTCAGAGGCTCTCACCCTCCCTTTGCTTAGCTGCAGCCTGCCCTTGCTGTAGGGTCACACCAGTGATCATTTGTTCCCAGAAGCCTCCTTGGCTCTCCCTATTGCATTCATTCCCTCATGTTTCCAAATGTCCTGCATCCCTGTGTTCTAACCCCTCACAGAGTAAAAAGTTTAATGTTATTGACTCTTAGTTTAATTTTACCCCTCTAATCCCACCCTGAACACACACACATATACATACTAATTATAGGCTTCCTGAAGGCAAGGACTACCATATTTTTAACCAAATAGTGTGTATGTTTACAGTTTTTGCAGCCCTTCCTATGTTCATGAGTGCTTTGGACATTGTATGTTTGGATGAGTAAATGTATGAAAACTACAGTGTGTCTGTAAGTGCCTAGCAGATCACAGGTGTTTAGTAATTGCCTGAGGAAATGCTGTGTGAATCTTCTTAGGGCAAACTAATAATAATGTTCGTAGAGTAGTAAGAGTCTTTTCAGGGGCTCCCTTTAGTCCTTAGAATAAGATCTAGCAGGCATGCAGTAAAGTTTAGTGACATCAGTGAGTGAATTCTCCAGAGCAGACACTTCCTCTAAATCCAAATAACAAGACTCAGTCATGTGGAGGAAATTGTGGTCTGACAGGCTCAGCTCCCTTAAATTTTGACTGTTGTGAGCTAGCCGGATATTGGAAGCAGGTCTCCTAACGGGGTTGGGGGCTACATGGGCACTTCTTGGAACCAGCCCCCACTCTGAAATGTCAGACCAGCATTGTCAAAGAGGTGGCTGGTTAATTCCCCTGGGAAATACAAGGGGCTTCAAAAAATCCATGGAAAATTATGGAATTAAAAGTGAATGGAATTTCCCCACAAACTTTTTCAAGTCCCCTTGTATAGATAGAGTCCAGGAGTCTTGGTGGTGCTATAGATAAGCAGTGGACTGCTACCCACAAGGTTGACAGTTAAAACCCACCAGCAACCCCTCAGGAGAAATATCTGCTCCCAAAAAGATTTACATACAGTCTAGGAAACTCTCGTTGGGCTGCTGTGAATTGGAGTTGGCTTGGTGGCAGTTTACATGTTGTTGATATTAAGTGTCGTCGAGTCAGTTCCAACTCATAGTGGCCCTGTATAAGGTTTCTGAGGAGCAGGTGTAGGTTTGAACTGCAGACCTTGTGGTTCAGAGTCTAGTGCTGATCCTTTGCATTGTTGTTGTTGTTGTTGTTGTTGTTAAGTGCCGTCGAGTCGGTTCCGACCCATAGCGACCCTGTACAGGGTTTCCGAGGGTGTAAATCTTTACGGGAGTAGAAAGCCTCATCTTTCTCCCGCGGAGCAGCTGGTAGTTTCGAACTGCTGACCTTAAGGTTCGCAGCCCGATTCATAACCACTACGCTACCAGAGCTCCTTGGATCATGATAAGTTGGAATTGATTCAACCACCACAAATGTGGTTTTGTTTATGGGTAGCTTGACAGAGACTGTTCAGGCAGCCTGGAGATGTGGTGAGCTTGTATGACCTTCCCTGTACTCAATGAGGGAAGCTGAGTAATACTGCTGGCATGTAAATCCTCAGAGAAATTATGTGCCCAGCACAGCCTGGAACCCAGCACTCAGGTACTCAAGAACAAATCAATGATTGAATGAATAAATGAAGCAAATGCTTCCTTATGTCATTCAATAATCATCTGTTAATGAACAATTATGAGGAGGCAGATTCCTGCTGGGTACTGACATTAGAGAGATGAATAGGACAGAGTCCCTGTTCTAAAGAATGGACATCCCCACTAGAAAGCCTTGGCTAAGGAAACCCAACTTGTCTAAGTTGGAATGAGTTTGATGAAACCACAGACAGAAGATACACTCAACACTAGTAAGTAGAAAGGGGCGTTGATTGACTAAGTGTGCGAGGATGTTCATTCAGATGTTCTTCAACATTGGTGCATTTAGAGAATCAAAACTACCACTTATGGGCATTAGTATCCGTTCAACTCAGGTCTCAGCTGAGTCCTGGGAACACGTGGCTGAAAGCAGAGAAAATGCCAATCAATTCCATGAGAACAGATGGGTGGATGCAGGGATGTCACCCCTTCAGCAAAACACTACACTACCAAAACATTGAGGGAGCTCTGTTAATATCAGGTTCTGTGTTAACATGGGAAGCAAAGATAAATGTGACACAGCCCTGCCCCCAAGGAACTTGCAGACTACCTGAATTGAGATGGGTGTGCAAAAAATAACTAGTAATGTTGGTATATTATGGTATGGATATTGTGAGATATGTGCAAAGTGATATCAGGACTTAGAAAAGAGAGAGAAAAGGGCTCTTAGAGGTGCTGACTGTCAGAGAAGGGACTTGGCTAATGAAAAATATGCTGGTACTGATGTGGCAGAAAGCTAGGGATGGATCAGGAAGAAGATGCTGTAGACTTTAAGCTGCCACACATAAATGTGGTACTATGGGAAATATGAAGAACACCAGGACATTAACTTAAGGACCATTGACTCCTTGGACCATCCTCCAGAAGGGTTCACTTAGGTGTCTGGAATGAGATGTTGCTTCGGATCCCTAGACCACCACCCAGGGAGATGCTGGACTGTGACTACTTATTTTTGTTGTGGAATTATCGTCTACACAGTAGATTTTGGTGGTGGTTGAGGGGTTCACAACCAAATACACTCATTGCTTTTGAGTCACTTCCAACTCATGGGGACGCTATGTGTTAGAGTGGAACTCTGGTCCCTAAAATAGGATTTTCTTGGTTGTGATCTTTGCAGAAGCAGATTGCCAGTCTTTCTTCTGTGGTGCTCCTGGGTTTAACCCTAACCTCTAGGTTAATAGTCTAGCATAAGTCATCTGGACCACCCAGAATCGTACTGAGGGACTAGGGAACATTAATAGTTGAATTCAAGGTGTTTGACCATTGAAACCTGAACTTGGCATCAGAAGACCTATGGAATCCTGTCCCTGCCCTTTATCAGCCATGTGATAAAATGGGAAAATTAGTAATATGTACCTTTAATGCACCAGACTGCAAAGCCGTCTGAACTGCAAGGTTAGCAGTTCAAGTACACCAGTCACTCCTTGGAAAACCTATATAGGGTCACTATGGGTTGGAACTGACTTGATGGCACTTAACAAGAACAACAACCTTTAAGAATGTTTATGAGGATTAACCCAGGTGAGTCTATGAAGTTATCCAACATAGGGTTGAGATACATAGATATATAGGTGCCCAGCTACTCCTTCTTCTACCTGGAGTTGAGTCCGTGAGTTAGCACCTGGTGGAGCAGGTAGCATCAACCCACTCTGTTGAGCTTTAAGGTAATAAATCCCAAGAATGGAGCTTAATTAGATGTAAGTTTTCGGAACCCAAGTTGATTGCCTTGACTTGTACACTGACTTTCTATCATTACCATTTATTTCATGCAAGGCACAAAACAAAAACTTGATTTTTTAATTTTTAAAAATCTAGTGCTTTTTCTTTGTGATACTTTAACATAATGTTATTTTCATCATTTACTTGAAAGAATAAAGTAGAGTTAGAAACAGTCCATGAACCAGAGAATTGAATTGAATTTGTCCTCAGAACAAAGAGGTATTGTGGGATCAAATGCCCCAGTTGTTTTCTTCAGGGAGATGTTCCAACATAGCAGTTGTCTAACCTTAGCTAACTCATTTAATTCCTTGGCTAACTCATTTAATTTCTGCACACCTCAGTTTCTTCATCTGTGAAAAAGGTTGCAATAATAATCCCAGCCCCATAGGGATTAATCTTCCAACAGATTAAATAGGACTGTAGATAGAATGCCTTTAGCACTGAGAATGTCACGTGGATAGATGGATGGATGGATGGATGGATGGATGGATGGATGGATGGAGGCGTGCCTTGCCTTGGAGTCAGTTCTGACTCATAGCGACCATGTACAGGGTTTCTGAGGCTGTCAATCTTTATGGGAGCAGAAAACCTCATCTTTCTCCCATGGAGCGGCTGGTAGTTTCAAACAGCTGATCTTGAGGTTCGCAACCCAATTGGTAACCACTACACTACCAGAGCTTGTCACATTTTGTAGTTGTTGTTGTTAAGTGCCGGCGAGTCTATTCCGACCCATAGTGACCCTGTATAGGGTTTCCAAGGAGTAGCTGGTGAGCTTGAACCACCGACCTTGCAGTTCAAATGACTTTGCAGTCTGACACATTAGCCCACAGCACCATACTCACATAGCTGTTAATAAATGGAAGCTAATGACATAATGTAAGATTTGGTAAGATGGAGGGTCAGAGAAAAAGAGGAAGACCCCCAACGAGATGGATTGGCCAGGTGGCAGCATAGATGGACTCAAGTGTGGCAACAGTAGTGAGGTTGGCCCAGGATCAGACATTGTTTCATTCTGCTGTGCATAAGGTTGCTATGAGTCGGTGCCGACACCATGGCACCTAACAACAACAACAAAATCACATAATGATGGTTGTGTAGATGTGTGTGTGAGTCTTTTCAACCTCTTCTCTCTTCTTTTTCCTCCAAGGCGCCTCCACCCAAAATTCTAACACCGTGGAGCCAGAGAAGCAGGTGGACAACACGGTGAAGATGGCAGGTGTGATCGCTGGCCTCCTCATGTTCATTATCATTCTCTTGGGTGTGATGCTCACCATCAAAAGGAGGTGAGTCTCTGCTGCTGCCCTGCTGGCTCTGCCCACCCCAAGTGACCCCACACAGGACAGTGTTCTGTTGATCACTGTTCAACAAGGATCGTCTGAGATGATTGTTGAGGTCCTCAACTGTTCCAGCCAACTGTGGCTCATTGCGTGAGTGCTACAGCGTGTGTGCTGCCTGTTTGGTGAGTGGCCCTGAGATGACCAGTTTCTTATGTGGACAGTGATAAGTTGGGTCACCCTGAGGTGTTCTGAGTATCATGAAATTTGGCTTTTTGGAGTTGACTTTAGGTTGTGATTGGTCGTGTCATCAAGCCTCACCTAGGTGAAAGTTCTTCTGGGCCCAGAAATTCAGGAAAGAAATGAATCACCCATTTCACCCTTGAGTTCCCATTCCTTCAATGGTCTAATAGCAACAGAAACCTTAGCTTCCTCTGCTGGATGGTACAAAAATCCCCAGGGAAAGTCCCTTCCTCCTCTATGCCACCTGTACCCTTCTCAGGTAAGCTGTTGCTGTTCCTCATCTCTCAATAGATGTCTCTCTGAGCACCTCTGGCCAACTAACGGTTTGTTTTCATACTGTATGTTCCCCCCAGACTGCATTGTCCAGGAAAGCAAGAGTGCAGATTTCTCTCTTATCTCCACAGTTCACTACATTGGTGCTTCTTTCTGTGTAGTAGATGTTCACGCAGCTTACAGCGAGCACAAAGGAATGACAGAGAGGAAAAGGAAATACAAAGGATGAAAATTAGCTGTCACTATTCCTCAAGTGTGGTAGTTATTTCTCTAACCAGGAAGTCCTACTGACCACCTCTTCTTAGCCCCTGGACTGCCAGCATGTTACCGGGCTTACTGGTTGCCTTCTACCAGAAGAGAGAGGAAGGTTGTCAGTCTTCTCAGTCTTCTCGTCTTGAACACCATAGCCCCAACCTTGATCTCCATCTCCCTATTCCCCAGAGCAAACAAACCATTCACCCACATTGTCATAATCTGTGTCACAATGTGCTCTGTCTCCAGTGAGCATTTTGTAGTTTTTAAACACAACCTGATGTGTCTGGTCAAAGGTGGCAAGTGCTCCTGAAAGTTATTTCCCACCAGAACAAAAGGGAAGAATGACCCAAACACAAAATCCAACTTGCACCTTAGCCACATGAAAAAAACACGGAAAGTTAAACAAATAAATCAACAACAAACCCAATTAATGTTCCCGCTTCTAGTTCTCATGGTTTCAGAAGGACCAGGGTTCCCACCACACATGAAGTCAGCCTTCTCTCAGCTCTTTAGGCACCCAAACATTCCGTCTCTCTTGGTTCTTCTTTGAATTGCTTGGGATGTGGCCTTTTCTTGACGTACTTCACCTACTATTCTGCTCCTTTCCTTAGGTTCCCAGAAGAATGACTAAAGAGTTAAGGTTTTCATCAAGCTGCTGGTTTTCTGGGTGGTAAGGCTAGCAGAAGGGGAAGATGAGGTGTTAACATTGGAGTCAGAACCCCAAATGGTAAAGGATAACACTGCTTTGTTATACTGCCATCCATAAGAATGATCATATCTATGGCTGTTTTATATGAGGCAGAATATGAGTTTTGATGTCTCTGGGGAAGTAAGCAATTGCACATATAAGATCACTGGCTTTCTTCTTAAAGCCATGGAAACCTTAGAGGCCAAGGTGAGTTTGGGATTGTCTACTTGGAAAAAGTAACAAATTTAATAGACGTGAATACCTCTCTGATAGACGTGCAATGTTCTCATTCTTTGTCACTGATTTGTAAGTCAGATATGTTCTTCCAATTTTGCTCTTTCTAAAGCCTGGCTTAGCCCACGTCACCATCCTCTGTGAGCTTGTGAAGAAATTTCACTTCCTTCTCAACAACTATTTCTGAAATGTGTGACTTTTCGGGAGGGAGAAGAGGGCTTTCTGACTGTAGGGTGTGAGCAAGTATAAGTGAGTCCTTTGCGTGGCTTAAACCTCTTCTGGTATCTTTATCAGCTCCCACTTCCATCAAAACCATCAGTCAGACCCAACCAACATGTGTTCCTGGGATCACCATTTCTCCCCAAGAGGCAAAAACTCAGACGTCGTGACAGTGACGGGGTGGGGAGGGGCTGTTGATCAGTATTCACATACACAATATCTTTTGGAGAAAATAAGGCATTTTGTTGACCTCGCTGAATAATGGATATAGGGAGAAGAGAAGAAAAAAAAAAGAGAGAGAGAGAGAGAGGAAGAGAGAATTAAACATAGACTTGTATGCTTGCCAATATCCTCCAATATCTTTATGACCCCAGCCCCATATAGAAACATGGGAGACACTTCATTGTTTAACTGAGTAAACTATCACTAAATTACTGCTGAGCAGAATCTTGCCCACAGCTACCTAAAAGGAAGAGATGTCAAAAGAGAAACTAAACCAAACCCATGGTGATTGAGTTGCTTCTCACAGGAATGTGTCCATACAGGATTTTCAAGTCTGTAAATCTTTATGGAAGCAGAAAGTCTTATCTTTCTACTGTGGAATGGCTGGTGAGTTGGAACGGCTAATCTTGCAGTTAGCAGTCCAGTGCTTATCCTACAACATCACCAGGGATCCTTACTAAAAGAAAAGAACCCCCCCAAATATTAGGGAAATCATCACAGCTCCAGGTCTTAATGCCAACATCTCTCTCGTGTCCTATGGTGCATGGATCACAGAAACCTCAGAGTTTGAACACCTGCTATCTTACCCCACACTGTTGGAACTTGCCTACATCTTCTCCCTGTCTTACATGGGCATGGAGGCTCCCTGTGTTTTTCTTTCCCTTATGGATTCAACTGTGGCACTATAGGATAAGCACTGGAATGCTATCCACATAGTCAATGGTTCAAACCCACCAATTGCTTCTCAGAATTCCTATACAGGGTAACTAAGAGTCAGAAATGACTGGACACTACTTAACAACAACACAATGGATTCAACTGACACAAAGTCTTCCCCAAAGGTATAGCCACAAATGTTCCCAGTACAGAAAAGATGGTCCCAACTTCTTCCTCTAAAGGGTTCACTTTCTTTGACCTTTAGGCTACACTGTCATTTCCCATGTTGTTGTTGTTGTTGTTAAGTGGCATTGAGTTGGTTCCGACTCATAGCCACCTTGTATAGGGTTTCCAAAGAGCAGCTGGTGCATTTGAACCACTGACCCTGTGACCCAAGACTCCATAGACAATCTTTTTCTTCCTATTAGGGCTTTCCTTTTGTGATGTAGAATGAGAAAGCAGGCTGAGAATGGGCTAGAGATAAAGAGGACAAAGGGACAGGTGTAACTAAAGAATCAGAATCAATTTACATTCAGAAGATGTGGAAAAGGAAGAGGAGAAAAGAAAGGAAAACAATGAGCAAATTTGGAGAAATTTTGTTGTTGTTTGTTATTGTTACTTGGCTTTGTTTTGTAATGGAGGGGAGGATCTTGAACAATGAAAGGCTACAAAAGGGATATGACATATTGGGCATGGATCAGATGGTTTTCCCTTATTGTTTACAAAAGAGGCAAATTAAGGCTTAGAATTCTTTTTGTATTACCCTGGGCTGTTTTGAATGAGAGACTGAACAGAATCTTGGCCATATGGAGACACGCAGGATTACACAGTATTATGAGAAGAGAGGAGTCCTGGTGTAGCACTGGACTGCAAAGTCAGTTTGATCCACAAGGTCTGCTGTTCAAGCTCACCAGGCACTCCTTGGAAATCCCATGCAGGCTAGCTATGAGTTGGAATCGTCTGGAAGGCACTTAACAATGAGAAGAGCATATGGTGCTCTTTTTTGTTTTCCTTATAGTAGAATGCCATTTATTTTTAAATACTTTATAGTTTATATTTTCTTTTTTCCTTAATTCAAAACTTATTTGAGTGTGAATTGAGTGGTGAGGCCTTTGTTATGGTAGTGATGCTTGTTTTTATAGCTAATTTCTATTTTATTAAATTATAGTCAGTGATTATGGCCCAAGGAATTTTTGCTCTTTTGAATATGCTGGAACATGTTTTATGGTAAAATGCATAACAATTTTTAATTAGTATTCCTTGCATGTTAATTAAATTTATCTCATTTGAATATGTATTTTCTAATTTAAGGTATAAAATTGCATACAACAATACACTTAACAACAACATAGTATACTTGGGGTCCTGGTATGGTGCTATAGGATAAGCACTCAACCACAAGACTGGTTTGAACCACAAGTTTGGCGGTTCAAACTCACCAGGTGCTCCTCAGAAAGCCTATACAGGGTCACTATGAGTCGGAACTGACTAGATGGTACTTAACAACAACAACATACTATACATATGGGATCCTGGTGTAGCACTGTAGGATAAGCACTGGACTGTTAACTTCCAACCCACTAGCCACTCCTCATTTGTAAACCCTATACAGGGTCTCTATGAGTCAAAACTGACTTGGCACTTAACAACAACAATATAGATATGAAACATTAAAAGAAGAATTCTTTTTCTCACAACGTAAGATGTCTGAGGCAGGCAGTGTATGGCTTATACAGTAATTGCTCAATATTGTTAAAGTTCTAGTGCTCTGGTACTATATTTTCAGCTGGTAGCTTTTTTTCCCTATGGCTATTTTTTGTTGTTGTTTACAAGATAGATATTTTACTTCTAGTCTCATTTCATGCCCTAGACAAGAAGAAGAAAGGATAGCACTTAGAACAGGAAAGGAAAGGAAATCAGAATCCCTAGTGTGTGTGTGCCCGCACTGGCACAAATGACCATATCAAAGGATTGGTCTGAGGGGACACTGGTTGTGCAGTAGTATAATTCTCATCTTCCTTGAAGGCGTTTTTGTTAAATGCCATTGAGTTTGGGCTCATAGCACTCATGTATAGGGTTTCTGAGGAGTAACTGGTGGATTTGAACCTCTGACCTTCAGTTAGCAGTCCAGTACTTATCCTATAGCACCACACCATGAACCCCATGAAGGAGACTTGGCTTCAATTCCCAACCAGTGCACCTTATGGACAACCAATAC